ACGAAAATTATATTCATGCAGTTTTAATGAGTTTTTCCCATTGCTTCTATGGGGGTTCGGAGTTATACGTGGGTGTTACGGGTTCGAAGCCAGACGGCGCATAATTGGTTATCCTCTTGCACTCGCAGGCATCGCGCCTCGAGGTCATTGACTCCCGAGTCCATCTCTTGCCCGGTCTCATGTGTGTTGTGTCCCTGTGTGTGTGTGAGTGTGAGTGAGAGGCTTATGTTGGCCATGTGCAAAATGCTGATCAATGCGGGGGTTCTGGCCAGGCGTTAAGTGCATAGGTCCGGGGTGGCTTTAATGTTATTTGTTGCTCAGGGGCAAAGGTGAACATAGAGATAGAGAAGTGTTATATTGCGCACGGCTTAATCACAGTTCTCTCTCCAAACTTTAATCGCAGAGATATCCCTTTCCATGCCCACTTATTTACTTCGCAAAGCTCAAATGTTAGTTCAAACTTGAGCCTGCCATCACCTGTAATAAAACCAGAAACATTCACATTTTGGTCAGCTTTTAATTAACGAACTTTGCCGGGGCCACCTCCTGGATGGGAATGAAGATGCATAGAGCTCTCCTCCTAAGCACACACACGAAGGTAAACCAAAGGTAAACAACTGAAAAGAAGGACTCCCCAACAAACAAATGAGAGTCTCCCTGCCAGGGGAGTTGAAGTAATTAACATACATAAGAGTAAGTAGGATCCGAGGAGGGACATTTGGCCCCATTCGGGTCTGAAAACTAAACACAATAATTTGCTTTTAATTTAGCATTTTCTAATTCCCCAACTGGCAACCAAATAACTTCACTTCAACTATGCCAGGATATGGCTATGGCTATGGGTTACGGGTGCAAATGAAATTTTCCGACCTCCTGGTCGGAGGCAACATATCAATGAAGGTTTTTCGCTCTCCCGCTCATGGCCCCATTCCATCAGAGGAGGAGTCCCATCAACAACGGCAATCGTCATTAGCAGTAACCGAGGACACCGCAGTCCTCGACGGGGATGACTAGTACCTCCTCCAGCCACCAGCCACCATCCACCCTCTCCCATCCCCCATCTACCATTCTCCTCTGGGCATGTCATTCACTTGTGGTTTGTTGGTTAGGCAGAGGGTCTGCAGAGCGGACTAGGGTGGGACTAGCACTGGCAACAGGGCTTAGGCGGGTTTGGTTTGGTTTTTGGGTTTACTAGGTTTTCGGTTTTCGGCACAGCACCCAAAAATATTTGCCCAGCTTGGTGACAATTGAAAATCCAATAAAGCTAACTCTTCCAGCCTCTCCGCCCTGCTGCACCACCGGCCCCACTGGACCCATGTCCGCTCTCGTGTAGCTATTTTAATTTAAACGAGGTTCCTGCATAATCACAAAACCGGCGACGGACCAGTCCTGGCCCCTGCCTCCTGCCCCCACTCTGGGAGTATAAAAAACAATGCCTATAGGGAGAGCACAGAGACAGACAGACGCATCCTGTGTGGCCTGAAATATTGAAGTAATGAACTCGCCTCTGGCTCTCGTCTAAGTTTTGGCTAGGCTCTATGTTCCATGGTGTTCTCTATATTCTATGGGGCTGTCTTTGTTCTATGGGGGATGGAGACTTTGAGTTAATGGCACATAAATTTGTGCTCTCTGCCATAATTTTTGATTACTTGGGCGGGGCCAGGGGGCGTTGCATATGCCCCCAAGGCTGCACAAAACTAAGTAGTTTCTCTTGTGGATTTATGATATTTGTGAATGGCAGTTGGGCCGAGGAGGCAGTGTGTGGATTCCTAGAACTGTTTGCTTTTCTATAACAAATTAGTCTTTGTTCTACCAGTGACCGCTATACGGTTGGGGATTGTACAGGGAAGGATTCTAGTAGTCTGTTCCAATTGCTTTTATTGCCTTGAACTGTATAAGGAAACAGTTCTGGAATAAAATGTTGGGTATATTCTTCCAAAATCTCCATTGGCAAGTTATAACCTCTTCATTACGAGGCACATCCATCCATTTCTCCATCAATTTCCTCCACACAGACACACACCTCACCCACGCTCTGAAATCACAAAAAGCCCCAGAAGGATCACAATTCTATTCGCACATGTCACCATGTGCTTCAACAGCTATCCCGGAGACTGAGATTCTCCGAGAAGGGGAATAGGGGTCTTAGGTGGGGCTCACACACGCAATCAGACTAGTAGGGGGGGAGGTGTCCTTCAGTGTTAGAAGAGTCAGAGACAATGGAAACACACCACAAAACAAGTGTCGAGCAGTTAAGTTTTTGTTCCTCAGCCCACCCCCCTCTCAAAAGGGTGAGAGGAGGCAGGATGTGTGTGTGTGCGTGTCTGTAGTTACAGAATGGCCAGGGTCCGGTTGGGGTCCGTGTCCGTGTCTCTCTGGCTGCGTCTCCTTGGTGTCAAATGCAAAAACCGGATGCGGAAATGCAGGCGGGCGGGCCCGAAACGTTGGAGCAAGCCAGTCAAGCGGCCAGACAAATCAGCTTTAGACCCAAACACACAGACAGACAGACCCGAGAGAGAACGAGAGAGACAGAGAGGGAGAGAGAGAGAGAGAGAGAGAGAGAGAGAGAGATGTGGAGAGACAGAGCAAGAGCCGGTCAGATGAGGGTGAGGAAGAGGATGAGACGCACAGTTGAGTGATTTTTCGATTATCATTTGCACGCCTTGGGTGACAAATCAAATGCTCGTAGCAAGTGCATTGAAATCTGTTCTCCAACCAAACCCACCCAGCCTCACAAGCCCATTCTCCTCCGCCCACTCCCTTTATCCCTTCCTCTCTCCCTCTCTCTCTCACTCCTTCTGTAACGTTTGTCTCTGTTGTTTGCTAACTCTGCTGGTAACATTTACAGGTGTTGATAAGCAAATCGGTTCGTTATGGCCAACAGACCAACAGGCAGATTTTCAATGGGGGAAATGGTTTTCCTTAATTGGAGTTTAGCTTAAATTCGAGAAATAGCAATACATATATTTTACCTATTCAACGGTTTATTAAATACAGATACTGAACAAAACAATAAATTTAAATCAAATTTAAAACCTCATAGATCGAAAAAGGATCTAAAATATTTTGTTGCCCCGCTTTTAAGAAGCCAAATAGGTATAGGTAAAAATATATCGTGAGCTGGGTCTTCCAGCTATGTCCAATCTTTGCACAGATGGTCCTAAGCCAGTTACGAGTATAACAAACTTATTGTGGGGCACATTCTGGCCTGCACAGCTCACGAAAATGCAGTTGAAATTTCTGGTCCAGCAATCCGATCCCTAACAGGATTTTGTAGGAGAATACATTTGCAGCGCGTGGCTCAAAATGTCCTTGTACCACATGACGTATGCGCGTTATTAATGCGATCAGCATAAATACATGCACACAGGCAATTTATATGCGCAATTTTATGACAATGCCATGTGCATATGTAGCTGTATATGGCTGTATGTCGGTTTATGTCTGTATAACTATGTTTACTTTAATTACAAGCCCGAGCCTGGGCCTTGCCTCTGGAGCCGTTTAATTGCGGTCCCGATGAAGGACAAAGCTAAGAGAGAGAGAGAGAGGGAGACCTCCAGAGCTGGTTGGATGGATGTATTTTGTTGATTGTACGCCAAGAGAGAGACAAACGATTGACAAATTAAATTGCTTATTGATGAGTGGAAAACACACACACACACATACATGGCTATATCCTACATGTAGGATATATATTGGTATTTGTATAGGATGGCCTGGAAATTCGCCTACGTAATCGTCGTCGTCGTCGGCGTCACGCAAAATGAAATAAGTGCATAATGGAAATTTGCGAAAGCCAATTTTGTAATAATTTAAATTGAATATTTATGTTGTCCCTCTCGCCCTTCATCCATTCAGTTCGCACTCCTCTTTCTCTGCTTGTGTGGCACTTCATTTTCGAGTATAATCGACTGCAGGCACTTTCAAGTGGTGTAGAGTGGAGTTTTTGGAGGTGAGAGACAGAGAAGGATCCATCTGCATACTACATTAGTTTTCGAGTGGTTCGCATTCTGCCTATTTGCATATGTATGTACTCGTGTGTGGTATTTGTCTTTTGCCCCAGCCCCGGGCCCGTCAAAACTTCAACAGTCATAACACTACTGACAATCATGATGAGAGAGGGAGACCCAGGAAAAGCCATTTAAATTAGAGCTTTGTTTGCCTTGCATTAGGCCAGAAACAAATATGCAGTGAATTCAAGTCTGAGAGATGCCAGGGGCGAGATATACACACATACTCGTACTTGTATGAAGGATAAATGATACACTCAACTGCAGGCAGGCAGGCAGGCAGACAGAACGATAAAAATCGAAAATGAAATTCGGCAAAAATCACACACAAAAACTGATGCCTGCTGTATTAAGAGGATGTCAAAAATGCTCAAGTTCCAATAGAACTGAGTGCAAAATATTTAATAAAAATCCAAATTAATGCCAGCCGTAAAAAGCTTTTCACAGGTCTCCCCTCTGATTCCCCCCTCGGTAAATGGCTCTTAGTGGAGCCAATGGAAAATTGCATTTTCTGTGCAAATCAATAAGACTTTATATCCATCTGACTTCTGCTTCAGTTTTTAGACGATAAATTCCATTCCCCGCACCACTCAACCGACTGAAGTGTGTGTGTGTGGCTGAGTGGATTTTATCTAGTATTCCTGGCAGTGGACTTTGTGAAGATTACTCGTATTTTTGGTTATTTTGTTGTGTTTTTGCTTGTTAAATTTTAATATCAGACAAGAGTGCTTGAATCGGTTGCTGGATTGGGCTATTGAAGATATACTCGTATGTATGTATGTATGTATTTACGGCTGGGTACGGCTGGGTGTGAAGAACGTGATTTTTACTCAAAATCTTTTGAGTGCCTAATCTTATCAGAATTATGGGATTTCAATGCTTCCGATTTTCCGATACGAGAAATGTGCAAATGCAATTTTGGTCAAGCGAAGCGAAAGAAACATTTTGGGGAAAATGCAATAATTTTAAGTCAATCATGCAACTCACTTTCAATACCTCTTCGTTGTAAAAGAAAAAAATCTCCAACAAAAATCACAAGCAAGCACAGAAAGACTCTGATACATTTTTAATGGGAGCTTCTTTTAACGGCGCCACAATCGATCTTCGGGAAATTACTGAACGCGACAATCAGGTGGAAGAAAGGCGTACATATATACTGAATTTTGATCTTCGAAGAGCGAAACGACGAGAGCAAGGGAATGGAATCTTGAGCTTCTATTGAGCGCGTTCCAATACGCCGAAGACGCCGATGAGCTGGCGAATAAAAGATGCCTCCTGTATTCCGTGCCATATTGCGTTCTTTATTGCGTTTTCATATGGATTTTCTGTGATTATAAATTGTACAGCATATAATAACTCTCTGCATTTAAATAAGTTGCACTTACCCTGATAAAGAGTGAAGTGTCGAACTGACGAAAATGCTATCTAGCACAATGAATTTCGTATAATGGGTAATGTAATATGGAAAATACTTTCAAATTTGGAATACACAATAATTTTGAGTGTGGTCTGCAAGGTACACATTTTGCTATTTTTAAGTGTATAGCCGTCAGCGCCTACTCTTGCACTTAGCTAAAGAATATATTCGATGTTGAAAGTCAACTTAAAATAAACTGAATAATATAATGGTTTAATTTGCACTCACATTTCTTTTTGGGCTTGGAGCATTTCTTGGGTCGTCGAAACTTGGCGTTCTTGCCCAATTTTTGATAGTGCTGCTTCTTCTCACAGTCGAGTGCATTCCAAGCTTTTGCGCCTTGGCGGACCATCTCTTTGGGAGACAAGCCGCAGTGCTGCTTCTTGAAGACTCGCAGGTAGTTCAGGTAGCCATTTCTTGTGACGCGTCCAACTCGCTGGGGTCTGTAAGCTTTTGTTGGCAGACTTCCTGCGCAACCCATTTTATTACAGGGAAAACAGTCCAGACACATTAAACCAAAAAAATTGTGCCACAAAATAAAAAATTTGCTTAAATATGTTATGTTATATGTGTGTGTACTTGAATAAAACTTAAAACTAAAACTACTTTGAGCTGGAATTTTACATGTTTCGATCGAGTTGCTTATTTTGACAATTGTGGAAACTAATTGAAAGTACAGTGAATAGCCTGTGGGACTATGTCCAAGATCCTTGCATGTTTGGGCTTTTAATGAAGGAATATTAACACAAAAAAAAGAATTGTATGGTTTATTTTGAATTAAGTAGAAAATATGTTATGAAAATAAAACAAAAGCTGACTGAAACCGCAATTTGCTTTCCCATCAATAAACTTCAACATGCACAGAATATTTCTTCAGAATCGCAGCATTTTCATTAACTCATCGGCGCTCCTTTGAGTAGGAGCAGCTCCATTTCCACCGACAAACCTCTACAAAATCAATGCGCCATTAAGCACGAGCTTCCTCCTCTCAGTAGTCCCCTCCTCGAATTGTCAACTTTATTTAAATAAATCCCAAGCCAAGCCCCAGAGTCAACTGAACCTTACTCAACCCATTTAAATATCCATCCAGCAGCTTAACACCTGAACCCGAAGAAGGGAATGCGAAAGGAAGCTGAGCAAGGGAAGTAAGCTCTCTATCTGCCTTCTCTGAGCTATAACTTCTGCTCCATTTGGCCATTCGCTCCATTTAGAATTCTAAGCAATTTCCTTATCTGCTTAGATTAAAATCCCGGCCGCAAGTGCTCCTCGTCCTCATCCTCGACTCTTCCATGCCTCGCTCCATGCAAAAATAATTAGCATCGAAGCATCATTTTGGGTGGTAGGCTAAGGGACCCTCCGTGCTCCGGACCACTCTGAAATTTATCATTTCCATAGTCCATGAAACATATTGCTCTTATCCACATCCACACTCAGCCCCATTCCAGCCATTGTTGTTGCATGGGAATTCATAACTTTTGTGCATATTATTAAAGTTTGAGTGTCTGTCCGGACTGTCAATGAGTAAGCGTCGTCCATCAGAGAGTCAATGACTGCCTCATCCTGTCCGTGCTGCTGCTGTTGGTGCTCCGGGTTCCGTTCCTGTTTCCCTTTACAATTGTTCAGCTGGAAGCAATCAAAAATGTTGATAAAATAATTTCAAATTCCATTTAGATCCTCAAGGACAATTTGCCATTCACCATTCACCGGGCACTAATAATATTATCAACAATGCCTGCCGCTGTCCGCCATTCAATGACTCCACTCCTGTCCTGGCTGCTCCTTCTACTCTCCTCTCCTCTCCCTTCCACCCACCACCATTCACCTCGCTCGCAAAATTTGTCAGCAATTGAAATTCACCAAACATTTTTGAATTTTGTTTGCCTCGACGGGTTTTTGGGTATTCGGATTCGTCGCTGGCTGTCTGGATGGCAAGCTGGCTGGCTGACTGGCTGGCTGTCTGCCCAGCAGGCACATTTTGCATTTTCTACCCAGCAATTCCCCCGTCCACCACACTCCTCCACGTCGCCACTGCATCTCTCGCTGGCTGCTGGTTGGCACCCACTGCTTTGATTTCTATCCACAGCGTGAATATGCAAATTGCCGGCTCGGAGGAGTTCCAAGTGGCATCGAAACCGCCAAAAATGCTCTCTGGCTGTAGTCAAACAAAGGAATCCGCAGATACCGACCTCGCTCATGGAATGTGGAATATGTTGAATGAGCGAAATTAGTCGAGATATTTTAATCTAAATGGAAATTTCCCCCCAGTTATTCAAGAAAGGTACACCACCCCAGCCACAGCCCACAGTCAGAGTCCATCAATGCATTGTATTCACTGTACTTGGAAGAACGTGAAACAAAATGCAATTGCATATTCAAGTTTTGCACTTGAAATTCAACGATTTGTATCGACTGCCGCCCCATACGAGTATGAATGCCCAAGGAGATCGTACACCGAAAACACGAAACAAAAAACCCCAAGCACGAAACGGAAGCAGACAGTGGGAGCAGCTAAAGAGGCATCCCAGCCCCCAGAGGCAGCAAGGAACCCGCCACCACCACCACCACAGGGTGTCTAGCGTACAACAGGCGATACGATATAAATCTTCAGCCTCTCTGAACAAATGTTTTGTGCATATTTGAACTTGAGTCAGAGCCCAGACCCAAACCCAGAGCCAGAGCCAAGCCAATTTTAAATTGGCAAAAGGTTAAGCCAAAAAACTAACAATCCCCAAGGCAGTGGCAAAGGCAGTGGGACGGACAGGGGGAAGGGGCAGGAGCTAAGCAGCTGGCACGTCGATGGCATGCATAATTAGATGGAATCCGGTACTTTTTGGGGAAATTGTCTTCTGCATTGATTTAATGATTGAAGAGCGGGATAAATATAAATTTTTCCTCCTCCTGCTGGCCGGGATTAACATCTAACTATTGCTTAGGACATTTCTCTTAAAGAATCGAATATTCGGTTATTAAATACAGATAGAATGAAATCATATAGAAATCCAAGCTAATAATTTAATATTGTTTTACCTTTTATTTTTAGTTTAAGTATAAAAATTTCAGGGAGTTTTCTGGCAGCAAAAATAAGCAGCAGCGGCATAGCCTCTCACCTGACAATCTCTAATCCAATCTTCTCCCAGTCTCCCAGTCGTATGCCTTTGTCAACTTTTTGGTCAAATGAGACGTTAATACTTATCCTGCATGCCCGTTAAATTTCATTCAGTTTGGTTCAGGAAACTCTGAAAGGGACACACAAAAATTGGCATAAAATGAGCTTTTTGTGTTCAAGCAGAAGAAAAGTAGGAAAAAGGAATACAAACAGGAAGAAGCCGAAGCGAGAGACGAGGACGTTTGCTATGTGCTGACATTGATGTTGTCATCGGGCATGTCCCTGTCCACGTTCCGACCGCATGCTCCTCCTGCTACCCCACCAGTCCTCATCATCAACAGCCAGCAAACAGACGCATGCCAATCGACTGGAGCTTTCGACCCGAACAAAACAGAAAACCAACAAAAGAAACTGAAGGGGGGAAGCCAAATGGACAGCATGGATGTCCTGTTGCCAATAATTTTCAGCCAAGCCCAGGCCAGGCCAGGCAAGGACAGGACTGGGTCAGACAGGAACAAAGCCAGAGCCAGAGCAAGCTCCAGAAATCGGCGGCACACATATGCAACTAATTGATATTGTATGAATGATATGTTAAATACAAATGGACATTATTTATACGATATGTGGCCCGAGTGAAAAAGGATTTCGCTCCAGTGGATTCCCAATTAACCCCAGACCGGAGAGGACCTGCAGGGGCAGGGAAAATATTTGATTCTCGTCCACCCACAATGGAGACTGCATATAAGTAAGACCTCCCTCGGTTTTTCAGCTACTTGAAGTTTCTCTGGCTGTCTTTTCGGCCAAGGGCTGAATGTCCATGTCCCTCACTGAGTACGACTTCCCAGGTCCGCCGTCTAATTTGCATAAACAAAACGTACACAAACGTCAGCTAATCTCTGAGCAGCCTTAAAAGTGCACTTACCTGCAGCTCCTTTGCGACGCCAACTTAAATGCCAATTAGTTGCCATTGGGGTCGCTACGGGGCCCCCAGTTCGGCGGCAGTCCTCCCCGACTCTCTGCCACTCATTAACAATGCCAATTGGAAAAGTCCGAAACTGCAAAGCCAATCGCTGGCCAACAATGAGGCGTCTAATTAGTCAGGTTGAGTTATCCCAGGCACGTTTTTTCCTCTCCTGGGGTCCCCAGTTCCCAGTCCCCAGTCCCGGGGTGTGTGCACCGAATTCACGCCTCTGGATCGTCGGGGTCTCTGGGCATTATAAAATATTTCTCGCTGCTTTTCCTTGTTCCCGTCGAGTGGGAATTAAACAAATTTATTTGCAAATCGAGCAGCCTGGAGAGCAGCGAGGGGAGCGCTGCGGCAGCCAGAAGACCGGAGCGAAGAGTTAACTTAATTTGGGGCAACAGCAACGACAGACAGGCCACAGTCTGGCTTTGGCCAGAAATTTATTAACACTTTTCCCTCTCGCTTGTCGCTCTCCCTCCTCCCTCCTGCCTGCTGCTTGCTGCCTGCTGTCTTGTCGCGCGGGGTCTGCGTGACTGTTGCGCTGTGTGTTGACCCTTCGCCTCCAGACATTAGATAACCAACCCATTCCTGATTTTCCGTTGCATGCGAATGCGGCACGAACTGGCTGCAACTAAACTGAAACTGTTCCCCCAACTTTGGCTTTTAATTAAAAGGGTCACTTTCCAGTTCACTTTATGCTGAGGCGGCAAATGCTCAGCGCCATTCAGGAGAGGTTTCTTATTGGAAAGTTAAAGCTGTCTCAGCTCTAATCCCCGCCGCTACTCCACCCAGGACTACCAGGACTGCGGATTCGAGTTCATTTTTGTGACATATTGACAAATGCCCTTGCCTGGCACGCCACAAATCGTTAATAACACATACCGTTCGGGCAATGCCAATTAAACGCCCGCCCGGACATGAGCATGAGGGACGTGTCTCGTGTCCCCAGTCCACAGCCTCACCCTATCCTCCCCTTTTGCTCCTGCTGCTGCTGTGGCTGCCCTTTTGTTTTGGCGGCTATTTTGCATTTGTTTTTGGTCATGGCTTTCGGTTCCGGTACATCGCC